CTTCGGGCACTGGATGTCCTTCAGGGCCTCGGCCTCGACGATGACATTGCCTGCCGTGGCAATCGCGGCCATGCCCCTGCGGCGGCAGACGATGTCAGCGGCGTGCCTGCGCGCCTGCGGTATGCGAGCGGCTTGTACCCGGATGAGCTCCCATGGCACGAGGTCCTGGACGTGCTGGTAGATCTCGTGGCCCGGCGGCAGCTCCCGGGCGTCCAGGGCCCGGCCCTCCATCATGAGCATCGTCTGGGTGAGGGCGGCGTGCCATTCGTCAGTGTCGCGGTTGACGTCGACGAACCAGGCGGCGTAGAGCTGGTCGTGGTGGTCGGCAGGCGCGCTGCTCTGAGGGTGCCAGTCGCATCGGCACTGGTCGAAGCTGGATGTCCAGGCCAGTGACGCAGGCGATCGGACCGCGACCATCTGCTGCACGGCGGTCAGGATGCTGTCGGCGAGCTCATCGGTGAAGACCTGGGAGCGCGGAGTATCACGCCCTTGAACTTCTGCGTGGCCATGGCTGCGGTCGCACCTCTGGGTCGCCGACCCCAGCAGCTTGGGGCTGTTATTACCCACGTACGCGTCTTACGCATCAGCTCGCCGTTGATAGCCCTGAGGTTGTATGGGGCAGCTGTCGCCGCGGCCCCAGACGGCGCGGTGGCCCTTCCAGAGTGGGTCGAACTCGGGCTGCTCCCAGGCCCGGCTCTTGTCGGCGTTCTCGAGAAGGAAGTACCCACCGTTCTTCTGCTGCTCGAGGGCGGCCCGAAAGACGAGCTCGAGCAGCGGCCGATCCTCGTCCTGGAGGGCGGCGAGAAGGCCCGGGAAGTCGCGGCAGTTGATTGCGTAATTGTGCCAACACCACTTCGTGCAGGGGAAGCCTATGATGACCACCGGCGGCTTGAACGCCCCGACGGCGCGCGCCCATCGGCGGCGACCAGCTGCCGCGCCCAGGTCGAAGCCGTAGATGATGTCGACGGGCTGCAAGGCGGCGAGGCTGAAGACGCGCGCGCTCGGCGATGTTTCACTGACCCGCAAAGCCATCTAGGATGCGCACGTAGCGCGGCGCCTCGGCGTTGATCTGCTGGGCGCTGCCGTCGACGACGTTCCGAACCTTGGCCTCCACCTCGAGAGCAGAGATGGCGCGGTTGAGCGACGCTTTAGAGCTCCGAAGCCCTCGTTGGAGATCCCACCCCCGAGTCGCCCTCCTCCACGATGGCGCCCGTCTCCCTGGGGCGGCGGCGTCCGACCGGCACTGGCTTGGCCATCGCCTTGCTGCGGGTCGCCGTGAAGGACGGCACTGGAGTCGAGGGTCTCGAAGATGATGCGCTCGGCGTTGCTGGCGATACGGTTCTCTTCGCCGCCATGGCTGCCGGCGACGGCGGCGGCGGCCGCGAGGAGGAGGCCCGCGATGACTTGGAAAAGTCGTCGGGATACTCGATCCACTGCGTGTCGGTGACGATCCACTTCCATCGCATCCGGCACGCTGGTTGCTGGCACCTGGCGCACCACCCGTGGCGCCCTGCGCAGTACTCCTTGATGGTCTTCACGCCCGTGTTCGGGCCCTGGTGGTCGCACGGCTCGCACTTCTTCGGCGTCTTCATGTCCAGGTAGGCCTCGTGCGCCTTCAGGCCGTCGGTGCACCCCGCGTCGAATGCTGCCAGAATCGGCATCGCCTTCAGAGGCGCATTGCGATAGCCCGGGCCCATCGCCATCACAGCTCGAAAGGCCTGGCCTGCCCCCAGGGCCGCGTAAATGAGCGCCCACGGGCGCATGGGAAGGCGGTTCCATCCCTCGCGAATCTGGGGCAGCATCAGCGGGGGCTGACGGGCTGGATATGGAGGGAGCCGATGGCTCGGATATGGAAAGCTGTCAACCGCTGAGATTCAACTGCTTGACCGAATATGGCTCTGGATTCGAGTCGAATCGCTCGATCTGGACGGTGCCCTCGGGGGTCTCGTGCCAATCTAAGCCGTCGTCTGCGATATCGAAGTGGACGCGTCGCCGGCGTCTTCGCACGTCCATCTTGGTAGACTCGCTCGCCGGGGTCCCCTGGTTCAGTTCCACGCGCTCGAGGCGTCGCTGGCTACGGAGTTCTCATTCGATGTTTTTATCGGGGGGTAGGGCGACGTCCTCGCCCATGGTGCCCTCGGAAAATCTGAGATGCACACGATGAGCTGGCCGTTCTTGGCCCTCTGAAGCGGGGGGTCGAAGACCCCGATCCCCAGGAAGCTGACAGCCCCTACGAACATGTTGATGGAGGCCCCCAAGAGGACCACGAACTCGTTGGAAGCCAAAAGGGGAAACGCGGACGACGCCTCAGAAGACCTAGCCCAGAGCGCCACACCCGCGATGCCTATCGGGCAACCCCAAAGGAAGACTGACTGGATCTCGGGGCCCTCTCCGAACTTGAACCTCTCCTGAACGGCCCACTTGACGAGGCTCAGGGATCTGTCCTCGAGTCTCCGGGCGCGGGCTTCTCCCCGGGCGGATCCATGGACCACCCTCCGGCACGCGGCGCCGGCGATCATCCAACTCTCACCGTCAAACTCGTCAACATATTCGATCGAATCTCCGACCGCGAAGCCCTCGGGGACTGACTGAGACATCATCCAAGGATACATAGTAGAAGACGACGCAACGCGAGCGGAGCCGGCATGGCTGACGAGGAAGAAGAGACCATGGATGCGCGGAATGGTTTTCTCTGCCCCCCATGCTTCGCTGGAGGCCCAGCGCGAGAACTGGATGGCTTCGGCCCCAACTTGGCGCCCGGCTTCTTGCAGGCAGCATCTCCAGCCCCGCGACCGAGCTCTCCGCAATCCAAGCACGCCTCCGTCTTTTTCCTCTGTTCGATCTGGTCGGCCCCTTGGCGCGGCGCAGATGAGCGAGAGCCCCCTTTCCCCTTGGCATTAGAAAATCCCTGGCTGGAGTGATCCCCTTCAGCTTCTGGGACACGATGCTAAGAACGTCGTCCAGCGCTGCCATGGCTTCGCAAACCTCATCGAAATCGGGTTCGTCCTGGCCGGCGGCCTCCTCGATATTGGGCTCATCACCCCCAGGCTGGCCGTCGACTTCGCCCCCGTGCTCGGCCGCCTCTTCGCCGAGCTGATCCCCCTCGATCGTGGCCTCGGCAGCGTTGACCGCGCGGCGAGGCGGGGGCGGCCGCGGAGCCGTCGGCCTGTCGAGCAGGGCGGGGCGGCCAGGCGGCGCGGGCGGATGCTGCCGCCGCGGGCCGCCGCCAGGCCCCTGCCCCTGGCCTCGCTCGCGGTGGTTGCCTGGCGCCCGCTCGCGGCGCGGCCAAACCACAGGCGGCGCCGCTGCCCTCCCCGGGCACAGGCGCCCGATGGCATTCATGATGCCGTCGAACTCGTAACTATGAGAAACAGAAAGTACACCCCGAACGTGTTCCTCGCCGAGAAGCGCTGTGCTCAACAGGCGGCGGCCCCGAGCCTGAGCATCCAAGGGCTCGGCAATGGTGATCTTGACCTGCTCAAGGGCGCGCTCGACTCGGATGTACCTGGCGCAGTAGGCGTGGAGCTTCGCACCGTGGCTCCTCTTGATCCTCTCGTGCGCGGCCAGCTGGCCCCCTGCGCGGAAGATTTCCTCCTCGCCGAAGGGCGAGCGCGTGACCTCGACCAACCTCTCGACACCGTCATGGGTGGCCCAAGTCATCGGCGGCTCGGAGATGATCTCCTTCAAAGACTCCCCGGCGACGGCGTCCCTGAGCTGCAACGCGGCCTCAGCGAGCGGCAGGTAGTGCTTGACGCGGAACTTCCAAGCGGCCACGGAATCGCGCCAGTGTTCCCAGCAGCGCGGGTCCGCCTTGCGATCTCCCGAGAAGGTCGGGGCCGCGGGCGGTGCTCCTGCGCGACATCGAACGCCTGGGGCGGGACCGCGAGGGAAGAGCGGGTCGTCCTCGGCGTCGTCGGAGGCGCTGCTGCCGCCTCGCCCGCGCCTGCCGCGGCGCCGCCGCGGCGCCCCGCTGCTATCCACCTCATCTCCTTGTTCCGACGGTGGGCGCGACATCGCGGCGAGAACTCAGCTGCACGACGTACGCTACCAATGTGAGTGGACTTCTTTTCACTGCGACAGGCGGAGCGTGGGCCACGGCTGCTGCTTATAACAATCCTGCGAACCGAACTCCCCGCGGGAGCTGATATGAAACCAGGCAGCGGCCTGAAATACAGAATGATACACGATGCTGAAGCGTACTTTGTCTGCTGTGTGGATCTCTGCTGTGCTGAGTTGTCAATCGGATGTCGCCTGCTGGCGGCTCTGCAGGAAGGGCCCCTCAAGCCTGTTTGACCGAAACGGCCACACAACGGCACAGACGCAAGAGGGGCACCTATACATACTGAAGCCTCTCGACGCTGAACGCTGAGCCGAGTCTCAAAAAGCTAAAACACATTCGGGCTTCACGAGGCTAAAAGGGGTCTAGCGAGAGTTTACAGACAACGCTGACACGCTAAAACAGTTCCTGTGTCAGAAGTATTAGTACTCGTTGTATACACATTACTAATCGTGTTAATGTTGTTGCTGATATGATTAATTATAGTATGTATATTAATAGTCGCAGTATTCGTATTGCTATGGTGTTTGGCATTACTACGATTGCTATTAATACGATTCGTCTTCGTCCTATTATTACTACTATCCATATTATTGTTTCTCCTCCCTCCACCTCCTCCTCCTCCTCCTCCTCCTCCTCCTCCTCCTCCCCCCTCCCTTTTGTGCCAGAGCCATGGCGCGCGTGTCGCTTGTTTCTTGGGAGCCGAGGTCTCGGGGCGCCGCCCTGTTGACGCAGCGAAGAGAACATTCCATCCATGTCATCCTCATCCTCATCCTCCTCCTCCTGATCTTCCCCGCCATCTTCGCCCAAGTGTTCCCCGAAGGGCTTCCACAACGGCTGGGGGAACACATGGTCCGATAGCTTGGCAGAGCTCTTGCCACAACGCTCGGCCACATGGGCGATTCCAAAAAGCAGGGGGCGGCGGTGATTTGCCGTAGGGGTCTTCGATAGGGATGGCCTCAGAAACACCAGTAACGATGAACATCACGTTCGTGTGGATGTGGCCTGTCCTGTTGCAGCAGCTCTGCGCGATGCTCTCGTCGTCGGTAACGCTCGAGGGAGCAGCCCAATAGAGTCTATCTCCCCTTATCTTTCTGGCCAGTTGGTCTAAGAGCGGGTCTGGCAGGTTGGTGAGTACGCGAAAGACCCTCATAGGCGCATCCAGAGTCGTTACGGAAGCCCCTAGGATGCACAACCACTTCACCCACTTGTCCACCTCTGTAAGGGCTTGCCGCTCCTTGTGCTGGCCCCACTGCGAGGCCAGCTGGGCAACAGAGTCCCTGGCCCCCCAGTTCGCGCTCTCGAACATGTGCGGGTTCCTTTGCCTGTTGTACCTCCCGCGGTAAGGTCTGTAGAGCTCGTCGCGCTTGCTCGGCAGCTCGCTGCCTTCTGGGAGCTCTGGGCAGTCGAACCCGAGCAGCCGATCGATGTCAACGTCGGGCATGGCATACAGCACCCAGCAAGCTATCGCGATACAGTGCTGCTTCACGTCTGGACGGAGCGTCTCTCTCGCCCCGAGCCTGTCGCGCAGACCGCAGCAGACGTCTGCCAAGCGGCTGGCCGTGAGCTCCGCCGCCAGCCCACGGCCTTCGCTCGAGGGCTGCCTGAGGTTCTGGCAGAGCTCCCGCAGGATGCCACCCTCCTTCGCCCGCCAAAGGCTCCTCACCAGGTCGACATGTCCGTCGCAGACGCTCGCGTCCAGCAGGCCCTCCTTGCCGACGACCAGGGCCCTGCCCCCATCGTGCTTGGCCTGCGTGGAGATGCCGGGACACCGCCGCAGAGCGGCGTCGATCCGCGCCCTGCACTCCCGCTCCTTCCGGCGGGCGGCCTCGAGCTCCGCCCTCGCCTGCAGAATGGCGGCCTCCAACTGCGCGGGGGACATGTCCGCCATGCGCGCCCGGGACCGCAGGCTCTCCTCCGCCTCCCGCAGGCGGCGCTGGAGCTCGTGCCGCTGCCCCACCTCCCGCAGGCTCTGCTGCCGCAGGCTGCGCCGCTGCCGCGCACGCTCCTCGGCCAGGGACTCGGCCACCTCGGCCTGCAGCCCGCGCCGCACCTCGTCCTCCAGACGGGCCCGCTCCCGCGCACGCCGGCTCACCGCCCGCCCCAGCATCCGGACGGTGATCCCGGCGGAATCGGCGGCGTGCCGCTCCCACTCGCCGGGCGTGGCGCTCGCGACGGCCGCCCGCGCCCCCGCCACGAAGCCCTGCAGCTCCTCGGTCTGCGCCCGCAGCGCGCTCCAGAGCTCCCCAGCCGTCTCCCAGAGCGGCTCTACCACCTGCTGGGGAAAGGCGAACGCGGGGGGCGGGGGGGGGGGACTGGCTCAAAGGGGATCTGGAATCGGCGACTGGTCGCAGATACACGAGACCCCAGCGAGTGAAACTGGACGGTCCTGGGCAGCGTGTGGGGCACCCAAGCCCAGATCGGCGATGCAGGGGCGACTGAACCAATCCGCCCCTCTGTCGCCGCCGCTGACCTGAAGGAGCTCCTCGGAGCGCTCCCGCTCCTCCGCCAGCTCCCTCCGCTGCGCCGCGGCAGCCCGGACCTCGGGCGCCCAACGCGCCAGCAGCGCTTCTGCCACCGCCAGGCTCGCCAGCGGGCCGTCGGCGCTGCTCTCGGCGGCGGCATTGGCGTGACCGTCCTCCACCGCCGTATCCCCGCCATGGCCCACCGTGGCGCCCACGAGCACGGAATGGACGCGCGGGGTGTCGGCGGCCAGCCGCGGCCAGTCCGCTGGGTGGCCCCCGGTGAGGCTGCACAGGCGCTCCAGCGCCGCGGCTTCGCGCGAGTTCGCCTCGGGCACGCGCCGCGGCGGGCCCTGCACCCCTCCGCCGTCTGCGAGCGCGCCCGCCGCGCCAAGGTCCGAGCGCGCGGGGCCCCTCCGCCCGGGCCCGAGAGCCTCCTCTGCGCCCCGCTCCGTCGCGGCGCCTGGCGGCGGCGGCAACGGCCGCCCGCCTGGCGCGCGGCGCAGGAGGCAGAGCTTCTGCATCTCGCCGCGCAGGCGGGGCAGCGCAGCTCCGCTGTCGGGGCCCCATGCGAGCGGCACGCCCTCCTCCTCCTCGGCCCACGCCATGCCGCGCTCGCGCTGGGGGCTCGGCCCAGGCGCTCGCCGAGCGACGACGAGGACTGGATCCCGCTCCGCGCGCGGGAGCGCGGGGGCGCAGGAGCGCGGAAGCGCGGCTCGGGCATGATCACGTGCCTGCTGCAAGAAGGCTCTGCTGCGAGAAGGCCTCCTCCTCCTCCTCCTCCTCCTCCTCCTCCTCCTCCTCCTCCTCCTCCTCCTCCTCCTCCTCCTCCTCCTCCTCCTCCTCCTCCTCCTCCTCGCCCAGGGCCGAGTCAGAATACCGCCGACGCCGCGCGGCGCCCCCGAGTCGTCATTCCAGACCCCCGCTCCTGTCTCATAAAGGCCTGACGGGGACAGCGACTGTCCAAAATCGCGCCTGAGGGTTTGTGAATATCCGCCTTGCGGCGGGACGCTGAGCCCGCCGAGCGCCTGAGTAATAGAGGAAAGCAGGAGTGCGAAAGGCGCAGAGGCGACAGCGCACTTCGGAATTAAGTAAGACGAGCCGAATCATCATAAGCTTTCTAGTCGCAACGCTGGCGGACGTTCAGCGCGGTCGGAGCGGCAAACTGGGCAATAGAATCGCGAATTCTGGAATGAAAGAACGCATCATTTGAAAAGAAAAGGATACTTGAAATCCTGAGGCACTCGGGGGCGGAATATACCCAAGACGCTGCCAGAGGAAGGAAATCAGTTGTACGGAGAGCAAGTTTGTGGCAAGCGCCGAGGCGAGAACGCCCATCGCAGCGACCGAAGACAATTCGAATAGAGAAAAGTAAAACACATGTTTGAAACCGTGGGCGCGAAGAACCACTGCGCGGAGGGAGCGGTTTGAACCAAGATGCCGTCGGGGAAGAGGGGAACGAGTAGTGCTCAGAATGGGATTGTACTCCTAGCACCTCACCCCCGGGACTACCAGGGCCCCCCTAGACTAGAAAGAGCGTATTCTACCGCTGCTGGCGGAAAACCGGGGGGGGTCACTACCGGTTCGAACCCCTCCCCCCCCCCCCTCAAGGAAACCGGGGGGGGTCACTACCGGTTCGAACCCCTCCCCCCCCCCCCAGTTCATCATGAAAAGAAGGGGGGTCACTACCGGTTCGAACCCCCCCCCCCTCGAAAACCGGGGGGGGTCACTACCGGTTCGAACCCCCCCCCCCCTCCCTCGAGAAACCGAGTGGGGGTGCGGACAGTGGTGGGGACGGTGGTGGTGGGGACAGTGGTGAGGGGACAGCGGGACATTGGTGGGGACAGTGGGACAGTGGGACAGTGGTGGGGACGGTAGTGGTGGGGACAGTGGTGGGGACAATGGTGGGAACAGTGGGGACAGTGGACAGTGGTGGGGACGGTGGTGGTGGGGACAGTGGTGTGGGGACAGTGGGAATGAGGTGGAAACAGTGGGACAGTGGAGGGTACAATGGTGGTGGGGACAGTGGTGAAGGCGGTGGCGAGGACGGCGGTGGGACAATGGGACAGAGGTACAGTGGGGACAGTGGTGGGGACAGTGGGGACAGTGGTGGGAACAGTGGGACAGCTCAGTGGAACAGCGGAGGAGTCAGTAGGGCAGTGGGGACAGTGGGGATAGTCGGGCAGTGGTTGGGGCCGTGGAGACAGTGGGGAGAGTGGAACAGTGGTGGGAACAGTGGTGGGGACAGTGGGGGCAGTGCGACACTGGTGGGGGCACTGGTGGGGACAGTAGGGACGGTGGTGGAACCAGTGGGGACAGTGGTGGTGAGGACAGTGGTGCTGGGAACAACAGTGGGGGATGTGATGCGGACGGTGGTAGGGACCAGGAGTCGTTTGCTGACGGTGAGTGGGGGGAGGGGTTCGAACCGGTAGTGACCCCCCTCCGGTTTTCGAGGGGGGGGGGGGTTCGAACCGGTAGTGACCCCCCCGGTTTTCGAGAGGGGGGGGGTTCGAACCGGTAGTGACCCCCCCGGTTTTCGAGAGGGGGGGGGGGGGGGGTAGGGGAGGGGGGGGTTTTGCCGGGGGAGGGGGGGGGGGTCCAGCAGGGGGGGGGATTTTCGGAGGGGGGGGGGGGGCGACCCCCGGGCTCCAGAGGACAAGGTTGGCAATTTTCCACAGTAAAGCGGCGGTGGATCACGCTCTCTCCTAGACTACAAGGGCACCCCCCCAGATTACAGAGAGAACCCCAATCCAACAGGGCACTCCACCCCGACTCAGGGACCTGGCATGCGCTCGAGAACAGGCTTCACGCGCGGGGTTGACATTCCCTTCGCGCGCCCAGGCACCCCCCGGATCTCAAAGCCCCCCCCCCCGACTTGGACAGTAGGGAGCCGCCCCCAGGACTAGAGGACCCCCTCCGGACCACAGGGGCCCCTCCCCAGCTATTCATCACATCAGACCGATGAAGTACCCAGAACGCGAGGGAAAAAGGCTGGAGAAAAAATTGCTGAAACCCAACGTGTACAGAAACAAAGTACAAAGTGCGGAAGGGGAGGATGAAACTAGGATGTTGTCGAGGGGGAGGGGAGAGTAGTACTCATAGTAAGCAGCGGTAGAGAGGGGAGAGCGGAGAACGGATATGAAAGAGGACTAACAACGAACAACGCACCTAGTGTGATGCACCCCCACCATGTAAGAAGTTTCTGGCGCCTTAGAAGTGTATCTAGCAGTCTTCAGGGCCGATGCCCCAGCTGCCAGGAGCTTCGAAAAGATATGACCGACGGCCGTTGGTAATGCGCGATGCTGCCGATACGGGCTGTTATGACTTATGTCACGCCAGCAAGGCGACCATCAAGTTTGCGCTTCTTCGCAACCACGTCTGCTTCCTGTGCGCGGTCATCTCCAGATTCAGGGGCGCGCTGCACGTGGTCTGCAGCTGGAAACCACGTGGCCACAACGGATTCAACGAAAACGACTTGGGCCTCGGCCATCGCGCGCAACCTCCACGCGGGAGCTACGCCAGCCTCGACAACCGCACCGCAGTTCGAGCACTCCTTCTGCCGCGGTCCGCAGGCCGAGCCCACCGGGCGAAGATTGCAGCGGCACTCGGCGCACTGGCCGTAGCCTGCGGCTTCCAATATGCGCCGCAGATCAGCCAGCTGGGGCTGCAGGTCTCGTCTGGAGACCGACCACGCCTTGGCTACAGCCGCGGCGACCTCCTCCTCCTCGATTGCGGCCCGCGGCACCGTGCACCTCGGCTCTGCGATGTCCGCGCCTCCGCACGAGGAGCGCCACACCGGAACGAGCCGGGGCTCTATCCAGACAGGCGTCATAGACGAGAATGGCGGGAGCATGACCTCCTCCTCGCATATCGGCGTTCCAATGTCTGCATCCAACTGGGAGGCAACAGAGTAGAATGCTCCCGTCGCAAGGCCCACTGAGAGAACGTGATGCCGAGAGGCCACCAAGATAAGCGGAGTGTGGCAGGCCTCAACCTTGTCTTGGTAATGGAAAAGCACGCTCAGGGCTCCATCAACGGACAAGCTGAATGATGCGAAGTTCGAGTGCAGTTGCAAAATCTGCTGGCAATCAAATTCAACAGGCACCCACAATGCCCGCGCAGCCAAGCCATGCGGAACGAGCTTTCTGTGACCACGCGCATACATGAAGAAGTGTTTCATGCGCTCTGCGGTGGGACCATCTCTAACGATAGCAGCGCGAATAACTTGGCCCGTCTGCGCCAAAGAGCATGCTAATCCGGCAAAAGGGCCCAAGTGTGTGCGAACCTTCGCCGCACTCGGCAAATCAAGCTGAGACAAATCCTTCATTCGTCTGAAAAACTCGACCATGTAGACTGTGTTACTGCAATAGATGACTAACGGTAGAAGACACGCTATTATGTGGTCGTGACGTCCTTCACCACGAAAATTTCGGCAAATCGCATCGGTCAAGTGCGCCGGCAATTTTTTCGCGACCTCCTGCACGCGGGCCATTAAATCCGTCTCGGTGGGCACGAAATCATGCCTGTCATCCCCAACTTGCCCCAAATGCCTTGACAACAGCCGCCGCGCCTTCATGGAACACACACCCTGCTCCAAGATGGGGACGTGCTCTGGCGAAAAGAAATCATCCCAGAAAGCCTGCACAGAAGCACGTTCGACAGGCAATGACTTCATGAAATCCTCGATCCAAGTAACCTGTGGAATTTTACTGTAATGGGACAACATTTCCTGGAAGGCGCTTGCAAGAGCATGCCGACGCGTACATGCAAGGTTTCGCATCGACTCGCCCATCGCGTGCGTTGAGCAAGCCTTTGAGAGTCCCTCGAGCACCATACAAAACAGTATAAGAAGACACGATAGCAATTCGAGCCAAGCTGGTTCTCTTGGTGCTGACTTTACCATTTGTGCCGACGCTGCCGACCCATCGGAAACGATGCCGCGCGGAGGCTAACATTGCCACGGGGAGGAGGAAAAAACAAATAAACCATTTCCCAAGAAACCGTCCAAATGACCCGCTCCAGAAACCAAAAGCAAGCCGCTTTCGGGGGCCGCCCAATTGCCGTATCGCCGATGCATCGGCGATGCGGCGCGATCACCCGAAACCATATACTGGGACCTCATGTGGGCGGCTTGGATTTTGACGGGCTTCCGCCGAACCCCGCAGGCTCTTGCTGGCGAGACCGCCCTCGCGAGGCCCCCATCTCATGTCACCCAGCGTCCGCGGGCCTTCTGCCCGCTTCCGCCGAGGACGAGAAGTCACCACTTCGATGCCTCAACGAGGAGGCCCTTCCCAGAACAACCCAAAGAAATACGTTTGCTGATCGGAAAAAGGCGAAATGAATAAGGCGAGGCAAGACGAGGCCCGTCCTCCGACGCATTGATGATTTTCCATCCGTGGGGCCCAGAAGGTCCCGACGGAGCACGAAAACGACCCGGGAGGCCGATGAATGTGGGAAAACTCCACTGTTGGAAAAAACGGGCACGAAGCTGCACCCTACACACAACGCCCGGCTGGTCGGAAGAGACACGCAGAATCAAACTGAAAAACGTTGCTGACTTCTGGCTCGGCGTATGTGGCCGATTAGCAGACCGTTCGTTCGCCTATGGTGCGCCATTAGGACCACACGACGAAAGCCATGCGAACATTGAGAAAGGAAAAATTTAAACGATCATGGGATCTGGTGTTACAAGGATAATGTTTTGACGACGGGCGACAATTTATGAACACCACGACCAAG